ACCCTGAGCCGGTGAGATTTGAACAGCCAAACTGCAGATAACAGTCAGCTGAAGTGGCTGCAGTACAGCACTCTAACCACTGTGCCACCTCGGCTCTACATGCACAAAAATCTCATCCAGTTAATCAAACACTGGAGAAGATTCCAAAATGATGTCAATGTCATGTTAAGTTCAAATATTTTGCCTCATTACCTTACAGATAAAGGCATATTGTTAGGGTTTAAGCACCTTGTCAAGGAACCATACAGCTGCTAGGCATAGGATGGCTATACAAGTAGTCTTTAATTCACTAATGACACTTCAAATTGTTCTTTCCACAAGAAGCAAAGCTTCTCTTTTTGCTTCAAGTGATAGCCTAATATGACCTGGCAATTATAGTGCTATGATAATACTTAAAAACAAACAAGGGACAACTTGTTAAGAAAAGAATGTTCTGTGAGTGACTGAACTGTAGCTTAAAATCTGGGTGGAATTGGGCAAGATTTTTTTTTATGCTGTATCATAAGAAATGGGCACTCACTTTGTAGATATAAAAATTATTTAACAATGTCATTCTATTTTTGAAGAATACAGATGCTCCTGTGACTGCTGTAAAGTTGCTTTAGCGATAATAAAGTTCTTCCTATATACTATGGAAAGCCAAACATGTATGATGGAAAATAAAACACATGCAGATGTTAAGAAGCATATCATAAACATTACAGAAATCCTAGAAAGTAAGTTTCCTAAAAAGCAAGTTGACATTAAAGAATGGTATGTTTTAGCTTTTTTCTGTTTTTGTGAAATTCATCATGATTTCACTAGTGGCTTCTTCTTCTGATTCATAGCCTGAAGACAAATTCCACTAGCAAGAATACAGTAGTGAATTATCTTGTAGAATTAGACATGGGTATCTAATTGTATCTAAGAGAAGGAGTTTTCTTGTCCATTTCATTTAGCTTTAGATTGAGCTTTGGGTCAGAATGCCTATTAGATTTTCAAAATCCAGCTGTTTTTACTAAATAAAACCCAAAGTAATTGGCAATTAAAGTATACATGTACATGTCCACAATCCTATCTATTCTGTTTCTCTCTTTTGAAATACGCAACATTATGCAATGTGCAAAGTGCAGTGTGTTGTTTTTCTATATAGAAAAACAGAAGAAAAATAGTAATCCAAAAAATTAAATCCACGTGATAAGAAGAAAATAAAATATGGTTCAGACTAACAGACTAACACCAATACCATTCACTATATATGTTTGAACCCTTGCAAAGTATTGGGGTGGGGGAGATCCCCAAAAGGCAAGATGTTGGTCCATTTCATAAACTTATAAAAACCAGTGAGATTTTGATCATGGATGGAATCATGACTTTTTGGACTTTCCTCACAGATACCTTTAAGCCTTGCATATTTGGTTGTTATCTTTATTGGATTTATAAGTCTCACTATCCTCCAGCTAATAATCTGCTAGCATTGTTCCTTCCTATTTTAGTTCTAGTCTGTTTTATACATTAAGATTTCACTAAATTCAGTTTGGAAGAATGTTTGGAAATATAATCTAGTGTGGAATTTAAGAAATATGAATAGCAGATATTCCAAAGATTTGAACTGATGGCATATTAAGTTTAATGTTTTAATGAATTCTTCCCATCTCCAATTATATTAAAAAGACAAAGGCCCCAGTGATACCTACAACTTTTGTTGTACCCTGAAGGAAATTGATTATTCTTTAGACCTCACTGAAAATGGAAAACACATTTTGAAACTGGTGGAGACCTTACAGTTAGAATTTACAGGTAAGTTTGATTCACAATGTATATATTTTTAAACTCTCCTATAGACCAGTTCCTTCCATTTTATTTGATGGTGCTTAAGTTCTTCTTACTGCTGTTGTTATTATTGTAATAATATTTTCTCCCCTTTATAAATAACTCAAAATGATGGAAATACCTAATACTGCTTTTTAAACAAAGCTGCAAAATTAGGCTGACAGAGAGACTTGCTCAGTTAACTAGCCAGTTTTTTTGGGTGGTTCACAATAGATATATACTATACATACTTAGAATATTTTCTTTGTACAAGAACTATGGTAAATTGTTTTCTTGCAAAATCATTTTACTGCATATCACTGACATTTTTAAAAATTATATGTGTATTTGCACAGCTGAAAAAAAAGTACTCATCGGTCACAAAGAAATTACAACAAGTAAGTATCATATGCACATTAATGTCATCCTCATTGTTATTTTATTAGAAATAAATTTAGAAATATGAAAATGAAGTTCTAAGATATATATTGTTTGCTTTTTTGCCACAGTGATTTGGATATTTGTTATTTGAGTATGTGTCCTTAAATTTTTCATTCTTTGTTTTAAATTATGAGAAAAAAAGTAACTTGGAACTCTCTAAATCCATATCTACTGTAGATAACAGCTGTAAGCTATTCACCTTAAGTCCGGAAAAGACTTTCATAAAGATTTCTGCCTGAATAGCTTATGTGTGAAAACTACATCTTCTTGGAAAATCTGGAAAAAGAGAGTTAAAATTATTAGGATGGATCAGGGAAGATCTAATTCTATTCTCTATTTAGTTTAATTAACCAAAGTGAATTCATTTGAATTTTCCTTTAGATGTACAAGGTTTTTTTTCCTCTCCAATCAATCTAAAATCATATTAAATAATCTATCTGAATGACATGATTCAATCTTTAAATTAAACTCTTGCACAGTCCCATGGTTGTTTAGTGATATATAGAACTTTAATAGATAAATAGATAAATTCCAAGAGATATACATGCACAACCACTGCTCTATAATTTGCTACTTTCTAGGCACATTTATTACCTGCCCCTCCTTGCAGATCACTGTTCCTCTAGTATTTCCATAATTGAACTACTAGAATACATAAACAAAATTTAAAATTGAAAGCATCATTTCTTTTCTTTGTTTAAAGAAAATAAAAATAAAAACAGAACATCGCCATCTCAGACATCCCAATTATTCTTTTAAAATATTATTCACAGCTCTGCCATTCTGATGACCTTACCACATTCAGCTGCTAAAATAAATTCATAAAATGTAACTTCAACCTCTAATCTACAGTTTTATTCTGCTGTGAAAATAAATTATTGAAACAGGTTTTTTCTTTTCATTTGCAAAACATTTATAGCCTTAAAAAGACTATTGATATTTTTTATTAAATTGCATTTTGCAGAACAGCTAGACAAGGAAATACATTGCATATTTGGTGTGCAATTAAAATGTAGTTAAAATATACATTAAATCAAATCAGATTGTATGGTTATCATCATTTCCTTTGGGGGCACCACTGAACTCAAGAATAATAAACTACTTTTTCTGCAATCTTCACTTCAGAAAAAGTTACATGAACCTCAGTGTTAAGTTATTACCAGTATTTCAGAACTAACCATTTTATAATGTTAAAAAACTGTTCATTAAAACAACACTCATTGCTTTGTTTCCAAACTTCTGCTATTAGTCATAAGTGAATTGAAAATGAATACAGAGAAGATTACTATGCAAGAGTCAAATTGGGAGTTCCTAGTACATGGTGAGTTCACCATTAATATTCTAGGATGATAAATAGCTTCAGCTTTAACCATCAAGTTTACCAATTTATGGGATGAACAAGTTATGGGATGTGATAGCTTTTTCTAAACTAAGACTGTGATTTAATGTGAATTATGTGTCAAAGGCCAGACACAAAAAAATAGTGAATTAGACCAGGACAACTAAATTATTTTCCTTTTATAAGTAATACATGTTCAATACTATTATTTTCAATACATAACTTTAATACTTTCACCTTTCTTTTACATGCAAAGTATTTACCAAATTTTGATTTTACATTTTTTACCATGGTTTCAGGCTTGTTATTTGTGAAGCCACAATAGAAAGACTGCTTTTCACAAGTTCCCTAGAAAATTATGATCATGTATATAGGATATCAGTACTAAATGAAAAAAAAAACATTTTCATATTATTAATATTGTAATATTGTTATTATTTTGCAGATATATGGGACATCGTTACATTTATGCACAAATCTCTTGCTTGCATCCTTACATGGAAATGGGGAAACATTTCTAACTATACTTACAAATACAGTAAGGATAACTTAAGTATATATGAATGCATATGAATTTACATTTATTTCTCTTCAGTTGTGATAGTCTTTTATGATCAGAATAAAATGGACAAATATATCTTTGTTAAATCCTATTAATTACACCGATATAGATTTCTTGGCAGGGTTACAGAAATGGTTGCCTTACCTATGAAACCTAGTAATTTCTATATGGTTCTCATCCAAATACTAAACATGCCTAAGCCTGATAAGTTTGCAAAATCAAGCAAGAATACTTAGATCCTTTAAATTGCTACCACATTTGGGAGGTGAATGTATATGTTTACCTTTCTCAGCAAGCCAAGCAAAATTAAATGTTATCTATCATATTTATTTATTTATTTATTTATTTATTTATTTATTTGATTTGATTTGATTTGATTTGATTTGATTGCTTTATTAGTAATTCAAGGTGGTAAACATACTCCTCCTCCCCACCACTAAACAAATATGTGAAGTTACTTGTGCTGAGAGAAAGTGACGAGTCACTCAGCTAGTTTTTATGCCTAAACAGGACAGAATTCACAATTTCTTGGTTTCTAGGCTAGCATCTTAACAACTACACCAAACTACTGGCAACATAATACTCGAAGAACATGTTTAAAATGCTGATTAATAGTTCCCTGACACCTAAAGTATAGGCCAGATAAAAGAAGTAATTTTAACAAAATGGCTACTGGATAACTGTGTTCTACTGCCAAGAGCAAAGATGTATTTAAAAAGTCAATTACTAACAGTAGCAATGAGGTAAATCTGTGCTTTATGTGCTTTCTAACATTGAGTTAGATTAGATAGTTATCCTGAATTATCTAAAGGAGCTCATTAGGTGACCTTAAAAACCAGAAAAATTTCATTGTAGACATTTGATGCCTTAGGATATGGTACAATATATTTTGAAGTGATTGTAAAGACAATACTAGAATAATATTATGATAACTTCTCTATCATTTTGAATCACTTTGTTTTCTATCCCAGAGAAGAAAGGATAATGCTTATCAGAGCTAAGAATTTAGATAGATGGGAGCATAAGACATTTTCACAGCTCCAGATTAGGTTTGTATTGTGTAAATGAATCATTCAAAGTGATTTATACAGCTAAGTAATGAAGAAAATATTTTGTTTTCTCCCCTTAGTTGACCTGAAAGACAAAAACCTGACTGATAAAACAAATATTCAGTTGGCAGATGCTGGCTTAGTCATAAATTCTGCTTACCCGCTTATCTTGCGTCCAGAAAGAAAAGTGGAATTCATTCTGTCTTTTGATTTTAGTGAAGGAGATCCTTTTGAAGTAGGTTTTTCATATTGGTATTTTTTAATAATAAATATATGTACTTTGAGATATTCATATTGTTCAAGCTGAAATTTATTGATACATTTTAGGAGTTAGTCATAATAATTGTCACATGGCATGCAATTAAGTTTCATAAATTATTTCTTGTAACAGTCCAGTACTTCTTGATAGAAAAAGATATAGCCAATCTTCTTTGAAGGGTCATCCCAAGTTGTGATCAGTACTTTCTTTATATGAATCATGCCTGTGTTATTGCTAGATAAGACATAACCTGTCTCTCTTGCTAATTAAAAGCAGGGCACATAATTGTTTTCAAGAGCTATTTCAAATCAGCAGCAGATCACTTGACTGATGAATGAAATGAATCACCCAGTCCGAGTTCTTCATATCATAGAAAGGACACCAGTTAAGGCTTCCTCTTTACACAAATTTATCTAATGTATGAATACCATTCCTATTGGTAGAATTGACCTCTTAGCCATATCCAGATTTATACTTTTCAAAATGTCATGATGCAACTGAGAACTGAAAAGTACATTCAACATGTCTGTGTTAAGTAATAGGAAACATAGAAATACAACAAATCACCTTAAAAAAATTACAAAAATAGATTAAAGGCCATTCTAAAATAGACATGAAAAGCTAACTGTATTTAGTCTTTTATAGCAAAAACAAAAACAAAAAGGTCCCATGACTCCTGAATATCTGAGCAATTTATTTTGACATAAACTTTTGAGTATTATAGCAATAGCAATAGCAATAGCAGTAGACTTATATACCGCTTCATAGGGCTTTCAGCCCTCTCTAAGCGGTTTACAGAGAGTGCATATTGCCCCCAACAATCTGGGTCCTCATTTTACCCACCTCGGAAGGATGGAAGGCTGAGTCAACCCTGAGCCGGTGGGATTTGAACCGCTGAACTGTTGATCTAGCAGTAGCCTGCAGTGCTGCATTTAACCACTGCGCCACTGCATGAGGATCATAGTACATAGAATATAGTATGAGGATCAAGTACATAGAATATAGTGCTAAGAAAATATATACATATATACTGCTGTTATTGGAATAAAAGAAACTGGAATAGGTCTTACTTATAGGATCCATAATTGTACAGTATATTGTTGCACTGATAAGTTGCTGATAGCAATGAAATTAGGTGAGAAATTTGTACACATTTTCATGTATTTTAGCTCAACTGTTTAACAATTAAATGTTAATTTAATTAAAAGAGTCATGATGGTGCAGTTCTTAAAATGCAGTATTACAGGCTAATTCTGCTGACTGCCAACTGCCAGCAGTTTTGCAGTTCAGAACTCACCAGGCTCAAGATTGACTCAGTCTTCCATCCTTCCAAGATTTGTAAAATGGGGACCCAGATTATTGGGGGCAATTTGCTGACTCTGTAAACTGCTTAGAGAGGGCTGTAAAGCACTGTGAAGTAGTATATAAGTCTAAGTACTATTGCTATTGCTAAATTAGTCTTATTCCAAGTTTGTCGTAAGTGAGAAAGGGTCTAAAAAAGTGACATGCTGCTGTTTGAGTTGTGAGGTTTTTGATATCAGATATTTGGGGAAGAGCATAGAGAATGGTCAGTCTACCTATTGTGTGTATATACTTGGACTGCAATGGAAGATTTTATTATGATTGAAGTATTGCAAATAAATACATGGTGCTGCTTGTGAAGACAATTTATAATATGCAGCTGGTGTGGAAACTGGTAGAAGTTAGCTAGTAAAACCCACTGTTGTACAATTACATTCCTATATAATCAATTTCAATAGACTTTTGGCTTTAATTCAAAATGCTAGCCATTATCATAAAGCCTTATTTGGTGGAATACATCACAAACACCTCACAATGCATGACTCTTTTTGCTTATTCTGTATATTGACTCTTCCCCAAGGTGCAGGAGACATAGACAAGCTGTTAGGCCTTCTCAATAATAGTGTCTTGTTTTGTTTTTGTAGTGTACAATCCAGAATTCTAAATTAGGGCTGGTATACAAAAACTGTGAAACAAACCAATATGTGTTCTTACAGACTAGCCAGAGATCAATATTTTTATGAGGATGCAGTACTTCATAATAGTTTGTTTTACATAATATATTAAACTGCAATGTGATTATTGAGTGTGTCATAGTTAATATATGATTTAAAATATGACATTATTTCAGCTCAATCCAGTTCAAATGTCAATTTTCTCTTTTGATCTACTTTACTTCGACTTGATTGATTGATATCTTACTTTTACTGATTCATAGCATAATTAATTATTTGCTATGTAGATACAATCCCTCTCAGTGTAGACACCTCATCTGTAGTATAGAGTTTGCAGTTTGAATTTATTTTATTAAGTATCACTTTTCCATCTTCTATTCCCACAGACTATCAAGGAAGCAAGTCAATACTGTAAGGAAAACAAGCTTCCCTTTCCTGAAATTGATGCCCGTAATTTAGACAAGGATAAAGACAACCCTGAAGACTGTTACATCTTCAGAAGCAATGGTTGTCCAACTGTCATGCACTTTCCACTTTTCAACAAAGTGAACTGTGAAGGTATATCACGTGTTCTTAATAAATAGTTCAAAGTGAATAGGAGTCAGTCTTTCATAGACAAAACAAGGAGTACACTTTGTAAATATTCATTTCCTATATTCTGGGATAAGTTTGACATGACAGATAGTTGATTCCTTCTGAGCAGGAAGATTAAAATTAATACCTTTTCATTGAGTTTTGTTTGCAACATTGAACTTAGAAAAGCTTTCCTCTAATTTCTGTGCCTTATAACATGATTGGTTGTGGATAATTTCCCATTCAGATAAATTCCCCAAACTGGACTGACAAATTGGATTGGATTGCATTATGGATATAATTTTAATTCAGTCATTAAAATGTTGCTATTTTATATAATCAATATTATGTTTTTTTGGTATGAAAAGATTGTTTTCTAATGCTTAGAAAATACTTTTTTCTAAGTATTTAAAGAAGCCCTAATTGTTTAAAAGGATTTTTTAAATCTCCTTTTATATTTTATTGAATTTATGTTGAAGGGTACCAAACAAAATACAGGTATAGATTTACTTCTAAGTTGAAAGCATGTTATTATAGGAAATGTTTGTTTGCTTACTGAATTTGGTCCTTTTTGTTTTCCAAGGTCACGTATCGGACTGGCGTAATAGGTATACAACCTTCAACAAGACATCTTACCCAAAGCAAGACATCCAAAATCTTCTTGAAGCAGCAAAAATAAATGTGCGAAATAATGCTGAAAAAATCCGGCAAACATTGAAATCTGTAGCAAATCCTTAACAACTCTACATTGTGGATGTGAATGTTGAGATTCTCTTTATCTTAAAGGCAAAAAACTTGAGGAATCCTAGAATTAAAGGATAGTTTTATTGAAATCTTATAATTTGTAGTTTAATAATTAGTATATTTTACTTTGTTTGTTTGTTTTTATTTTGCAAATACTTTTCTAGGTAAAAATGCTGAATATGGATCACTAAAATTATGTTTCTTATTATAATATATAGTTTGTATTTATACACTCATTTTTATCATAGGTAGCTGGAGGGTGCCGTAGATATAATAGGTTGGCAAAAAATAACTATTCTCAGAATTATCAAATTATTATTAATTCTCACTTGATTATTGTTTTTACAAAGGCTGTGAGTGTTCATCACTAGAAGAATGCTTGTTTTTGCCATCTCCCATCTAAAGTATTCTAGAGCAGGGGGGGGGGGGGATCAGTATATAATGTCTGCTTCCAAAGTTACAAAATAAAGTTCACCAGAATGCAACAAAATAAAATGTATATCATTGTATTATTTCCATCCGAATGACAAGATAGGTGCATACATTGATAAATGAAACTATATATTGTGAAATGCTTTAAAAATTATTTGAATTGTTATTTTTATACATTAATACTCTTTAGCAATTTTATAATTTAGCATAATTTCCAATATCAGTAGTACATGCAACTTATAACAAATTATTTTGTGTTATCTATTTTATGAAATTGATGAAACAGAAAATGCAGCAGTAATTGAATTGAATTATCAAATAATCAATAATGGATTTTCAATTATATGGAATTACTTTATACAAAAAAAAATCCTGATTTAGCTAGGCTAAATGCATTGTAATCTTAGTTTTTTTTATCAGTGGTTATTTTAGGTAAAGCAATAATCAGAAGATCTTGCACTTTTTACATCTGCATATACATTTGTGTCAGTAATTTTAAATTTTAATTACTTTTTCCACAACATGTACATAAAACTGTTCATATTAGGATGGTTTTAAATTGTCATCTACTATTATTCTATGCTAGTTAATGATCAAAATAAAACTCACAAGTGACTAACACATTTTGCTCATTTCTTTTTGCAAAAAATATTCTTCTACAGGATCCAAAGAATATAAAATTTACTAGAAACATATATCTCCTATCTTATAAATAAACATATCTTTGTACTATTAAAACAGGAAAACTCCCCTTTGGTTAAACTTAAGTGGAATTTACTGTAGGAAAGCTATTTTGGAGATGTAGATTAAAGGGTGTATACTGTTGCTTTTTATACTTCATTCTTAAATGAATTTATTGGTCTAACTACTCCTACTACTTAGAGACAGGATGGCAAACCTATGGCAGAGTTTTCCAAAGTGGCACAGGAAACCATGTCGCCTGGCATGTGCGGCCTTGCCTATTTGTCTTCTGTGTTTCTGGCATGCAACGATCAGCTGTCCTTCACGTGGGCGGCAGTTCCAAAAACCAATGTGCGTTTGTGCGCCAGCCATCTGAATGTTATGTGTGCATGCGTGTCAGAACTCAGAAGTTTGGCTTTTCTGAAGCACGATTCCTTTGTGTGCACAACAGTGTTGAAAGCTGGCCTGTGCATATATGCGAGCCAGCTGATTTTCCGTTGCACAATGCACATGCACGCTAGAATCTGAAAGTTTGGCTTTTCTGGTGCCCTGAAGAGTGTGCACATGTGTGTTTGATGTTTCTGTGTGAACTTTTTGGCACTTAATGCTGAAAAGGTTCACCATCACTGACTTAGAGGTTCCCTGAAGTATAACAATAATTTATTTTTATGCAGATTGGACAACAGAAAAGAATATCCTTTGGAAAAATGCACTTGCAATCTCTCCCTCTTTTTCTCTCTCTACCTCCCCATATCTCCCCATCAATCTATCCACTTTCCTGTATCTATAGAAGCTTGTTTGTGTATACAATTATTATTATTTAGATAAACATACTAAATGATAGACACATATTTCAACAATGATAATGGTAATACCATTGAACAATTTTTACAAAATAGTAATAAACATTGAAATAAACAAATATTTGCATATTAATTTATAGCACATATGCAAGCCAATTATAGTGTTTAGTATTTCAAAAAGCAGAGGGAGGACAAAATAATAAAATGCATTTTAGATCTAGACATAGAGATCTATTATTTGTGTGTGAATATAAACAGAGATAAGCATCAAATAACAATATGTCCTTATGGAATCACCTTCCAAAACGTATATTCTTCTGAAACCAATGTCAAAAAAGAGATTCATTAAAAAACAAGAGAATTATATTTATATGTATCTCAGCTTTCAAAGATAAGATGTTTGCGGTATCTTTCCAGTTAGCTAATAATTGGCATTATGATGTGTGATATACAGTAAAAGTCTTTCCAACCCATTTCTCAAGGCATCCTTTACTTCACTATTTCTAAGACTGTATATAAGAGGTTTAATCATGGGACTCAAAGTAGTATAGAAGAGAGAAGAATTTCTTTACACATGTAATTTCTTGGAAGAAGACAAGCATCAGTGTTCCGTAATACAAGCCAATTACTATGAAATGAGAAGAACAGGTGGAGAAAGCTTTTCACCTTCCAATAACAAATGTCATTCTCAGGTTAGTGACAAGAATGGAAATGTAAGAGGTCACAATGAGAACAAATGGAGGCAGAGTAAGTATATAGGTAAATATAAATGAAAATAGTTCTGTGAGGTAGGTGTCACTGCAGGAGATTTCTCTTATGTCATAAAAAACATAACAAAAAAAGATAACAATATCATATTCCAGGTTAAGATTATGCTCACCATCAAACCATTTGACCAAGACACAGATGCTAAGCAGAAACTTATCTGTAGTTCATGAGAGTGACATAATGGAATGGCTTGCATATGGCTAGGTATCTGTCATAAGACATCATTGCTAGCAGATAACATTTTGCAGCTCCTAGACAGGCATATATAAAAATTGTATGAAACAGGATTTAAAGTATACAATTATCTCCTTTTAACATTTTAGATATAACTGTTGAGCTGCAGCAGGCTTCCATAAAAGCCAGGTTTGCTAGGAAAATGTACTTGGGAGTCTGAAGTCACAACCAGTATGATAATTATATTTCAGTACACTATTACTATTATTATTTAGTAATACATCTGACAATGTTCTAGAAGAAGAAAAAATAGCAAGCAAATTCAAAAGGATCTACTTTCCCTTTAAGGATGATAAATCATGCTGAAAAAATAGTGAAACACCTGGACCACTACTCCCATTTTCTTTTCCTAATTTAGGAATACTCTTTCTATTTTTAAACTCAAAAAATATTTTATTGGTTCTAAACGAGTTGAAAATATAAATGTTACACAGATAGTATAGATTTACAACTGTTTGTTTAGTGACTATTCAAAGTTGAAAAACTGACTTACAACTGTTCTTCACACTTAAGTCAAGCTCAGTGCCACTGGGATCTTGAGATCAAAATTTGGGTGCTTGGTAAGAGCCATGTATTTATGATTATTGCAGCATTTCAGCATCATATGTTCACAATGTGTGATCTTTGCAAGCAAAGTCAATGACAGAAGTTAAATTTGATTAATGACTGTGTGATTCACCTGACAACTACAGTGACTCACTTAACAGCCACCTTGCTTAGAAACATAAATTCTAATCCTAGTTATGATTGTAAATCATTTTATGTAAAAACATTTTCATAGTAAGTATTTCTTGATCTGCAAAAAGTTTAAAGTCTGGATTTGTGAGGGATATGTTGCTCAGGTTGGGTGGGGTAGTTTGGCATCATAGATGTAATGAAGACAATCATGGGGAAGCATCTTCATGTCAGTAGAAGACAATAGGATGATTTGGGGTGGCACAATCTTCGAAGAATATGTGGTCAAAGGTAAAATGTTCTGCTTTGTATTGTGCTAATTTTGGTGGTATTAGCAGAATTACACCTATTCTGTAGTGGGCTATAGTAGGCAAGAACAGGCCAGCATTTATTGACTCAAAACTGGAACTGTGAAACAACAGGCAAATCCCTGTAATTTATACTCAGTGCCCACGAGGCTTTAACCAATCACAATATTTGAAAAAGCCCACCCAAATATGAATCTTTTAAGTTTCCTTCCAAAACAGTTGCAGTTCGAGTCATCTAAAAGTTAGTTTCACTTTAGCCAGGCTTAAAACAACTAATCATCTATCTATCTATCTATCTATCTATCTATCTATCTATCTATCTATCTATCTATCTATCTATCTATCTATCTATCTATTACCCCTCAATAAAAAATACCACTCCCCCCAAGGATAGTTCTTACCCTCAGTCTTACACCCCCCCCCCAGGATAGTTTTTACCCATCTCATAGACTTTGAGATAGGCTGGGGGTCCATGGATCATGGCAGGCCACCGTAATGTTACTGGAGAGTCCTATTTAAGTGGAGTATTGTTCATCTCCAATTAGACAGAGTCATGATAGCCGTTTTGGTCACCCATGAGTGAAGGTGGCTCTACTGCCCTTGGTACATCCAGAGGCGGCCATAAGTGATGTAGGCAAACCTGGAGGAAAACAGTTCTCTAGTGGGCCTGATAAAGCCTTGGGATCCTCATCTGGAACTGGCCCAGCCTACCGACACCATAACTGATCAATGTGGCATTTGATTGTACAATTATTCCCCAGAGAAACCTCATATGATATGGGCCTGTTACCTTAGTTACCCTACCAGCCACCCAAGGTTCCTCACAATGATAGTTCCTGGCCCAGACCAATTCACCCAGTTGCAAGTTCTGGGGAGGGGGTTGGCTGAGCCATGTCTGCTGCTACTTTGTCTGGGTCAGGTTCATCAAGCTTCATTGTAAACCAGCAGCCCTACCTCAGTTCTGCTGGGCTGTGACCTGTTGCTGTACTGGGAGTTGTGGGCTGGCCCAGGATGAAGTTCACCAGGCAGTGATTCCAGTCCCCATTTGTCATTTGTTTGAGCACCTTCTTCATGATCCTGACCACTCATTTGA